ATGTAATGCATTAACTAAAAACACAAATAAAGGCAGTAAGCTCCGTTACATCGGTCTTAATAACTAAAAAAAAAAATAAAATAAAATAAAAAAAAAATATTTTAGATCTTGAAGATTTTCAAAAAAGTAGCAGGACCGTCAAAACACACATCACTGCTATGATGTACACAAAATTCTATAAATTCACTCATATCATTACCAAGCTTGCAATATTTGATGATATTAGTTGAAAGAGAAGGTATCATGCGTATCAATGATAGTGGTAAAAATAATCATTGACATATTTTGTGAAAGATTTGTATTAATCTCCATTCATAATCTGTTGCTTTTAACTTTTTATTTCTTTGATTATTTGGATTTAGCATCTTTTTCGCCTGATATTTATCCACACAACTACACTTCTAGATAACTTTGTACAAAATCTCATTGTTGTTTACTATTCGTGTTGCAGTTTGTTTTTTACGAGTACTAAATCTTTTTCTAATCCACATCTATATAAAAATTTTTTAACATTACCCCAAGTATGAAAAGATTGATCTAAAATTATTTTAATAAAGAAATCTGTTTAGCCAAAAAGTTTGCATTTTGAATATTTTAATATTATTTTAAGAATAAAACAACTTGATCTAAAGTTATTTTAAGACAAGATTCAGATTTCTTATTTAAAGAGTCTATATCAAATATGAGATTGCAATCTCTTGTATCATCTTTGTCAATAGCTTTATAGATTATATTATTATTGGCATCACTAGTAGCCTCATATATTTTATTGTTAACAACTTTATACATTGCGCTGCCAACAGTATTATCAATAGTCTTATATGCTGTACTGTTAATAGTATAGCATATTGTATCTTCAATTTCATTATAATTTGTAGCGTTGATAGTATTGTATATTGCAAAATTGATCATTTTATATATTGCAATATTGATAGTTTCATATGTCATAGCATTGATAGCTTCATATATTATGGTATCAATAGCTTCATATTTTGTAGTATTGATATCTTCATATATTGTGATATTGATAGCTTCATATGGTATATTGCCAATTGCTTCATTGTTCATTTTGTAAGTATTATCAAATAGTTCTATATCT